AAAATAGATGGCACTGGTTTAGATTGGTGTTTGTCTTTTTTTTCTCTTATAAGAAAAATAGATGGCACTGGTTTAGATTGGTGTTTGTCCTTTTTCTCTTATAGAAAAATAGATGGCACTGGTTTAGATTGGTGTTTGTCTTTTTTTTCTCTTATAAAAAAATAGATGGCACTGGTTTAGATTGGTGTTTGTCTTTTTTCTTATAAAAAATAGATGGCACTGGTTTAGATTGGTGTTTGTCTTTTTTTTCTCTTATAAAAAAATAGATGGCACTGGTTTAGATTGGTGTTTGTCTTTTTTTTCTCTTATAAAAAAATAGATGGCACTGGTTTAGATTGGTGTTTGTCCTTTTTCTCTTATAGAAAAATAGATGGCACTGGTTTAGATTGGTGTTTGTCTTTTTTTTCTCTTATAAAAAAATAGATGGCACTGGTTTAGATTGGTGTTTGTCTTTTTTCTTATAAAAAATAGATGGCACTGGTTTAGATTGGTGTTTGTCTTTTTTTTCTCTTATAAGAAAAATAGATGGCACTGGTTTAGATTGGTGTTTGTCCTTTTTTTCTTATAAAAGGTAGATGGCACTGGTTTAGATGGTTTGTCTTGTTTTTCTTATAAAAGATAGATGGCACTGGTTTAGATTGGTGTTTGTCTTTTTTTTTCTTCTTATAAACGATAAATGGCACTGGTTTAGATGGGTGTTTGTCTTTTTTTCTTATAAAATATAGATGGCACTGGCTTAGATGGTTTGTTGCCCTTTTTTTCTTATAGAAGATAGATGGCACTGGTTTAGATGGGTTTTTGTTCCTTTTTCTCTTATAAGAAATAGATGGCACTGGTTTAGATTTACCAGGGCCATCTATTTTACCAAAAGGACACCTATAGGCGCAGCGGTTTTCCTCTTGGGTTCCCCTTAAAACCACACAAAAAAGGGGGTGCCAACTCCAAAAAAGACACAGCCAAATAGGCTTTGGTCCCCTGAAATGGTGGCTGTCCTTTGGGTTTCCGAGAGCTTCGTACTGAAATACTCCCGTCCGCGGTTGCGGGGTACTTTAACACCAAATTGATCATAGGGGCCAACTGTTAGTGGCAGGGAGGGTGTGTTTGTCGGATATGATTTCATGCTGGCAACTTCAGCGGTCTCAGCTAATATCGTGAATATTGCATAGTTAGAACATATACGACAACTACAGTAACCCCCAGTTATCCTAGTTATATATGGGCCTGGCTCAAGATCTCGTACCCCCAGTGAACATCCAAATCCCCACTAAAATAGTTTCTAAAATGGACAGCCTTATGTATATATATATATATGTATATATATATATATGGCAACTCATACTTGCTAAGTGGGCTGAACATCTAAGTATCCCGGGCAGAGCAAACAGCTTCATAACTGGCGCAGCTGATGTGCCTGAGGCACAACGCGCCCTGGCCTACGAAGAGGCCCTTGAGGCTCGCTCCGTTTTAACTTGGGGAGCTCCAAGGTTTGGTCATGTTGCGATGCGACTATCTCAAGTTCACACTGTGTGTGGTGTGTTTCGCTGGCGGAGAATGTCCTGGTTGTTGGGAAACACTTTAGATTTTTGCTTGTTGCGGTTTTGTGGTTGAAATCCAACCACTTAACTGCTAAAATGGGGAAAAAAAAAACATGTTGCTCCCCTTCCAACGTCAACCAAGATTTGTTCTTGAGCCGTGCAGAGTGGTGGCCCTTGCTTGACGAGATGGTAGCCATGGTCACAAGTTTCCGTTCCCCGGCACCTCAGCTATGGGTAAAGCGCACCTGGTCACAAACTGATGCCCTGGTCAACCAGCAGGGTGCACAACCAGCAGGGTGCACAACCAGCAACGCGTGAGGGAATGGGTGGGGAGCGCCTTGTTCTGAAGGCGATCGCCTTTTTGGGCTTGTGTAAGCGGAAACCAAGCGGACATCGCCCATTTTGGGGTTCCCCATTTGGAGCGGACAGATCCATGGGACTCGGGCTTGCGCTTGTCTCTTGCTGCGGCTCTTGTCTCATGCGGAGCCCCTCGGCGCGGATCCAAGGAATTGCTGATGGGTCTATCCACTAAGTTGCCCTAGATCACTAATGACGGGCTCATTTTGCGGGCCCAGAATGCAAAATGAAGATCACTAAGTTGCCCCCCGTCTTTTGCATTCTGCCCTTGAGATCTTCATTTTCGCGTCTTTCAGGCGGAGCGCGCCAGCTATGCAGCGGAGCCTCTCGACAGAAAAGGGGAGCCCTCAGCATACGATGGACGCCACGAAATACAGTATGGTGGGAATGCCCCGTTCATCGGGCTCTAGTTGAACATATGGCAAAGATCTAGCAGTGATGCTGAAGCTTCTGAGCGGGTGAAGGTGAGGGGCTACGGCATAATGTGGCAGACTGGCTGGTCCAATTGTGTTTGCATCATAGCAGCTGCATCATCTCCATCGGCAGAGTGCTAGCACATGTGATCTTACAAGTCCAAGAGAAATTAGTTTCAAACACTGTGACCTTATCACAAAACAAAAACCAAACAAAGCACAGATTGCAGCAAACACACGCACACACATCCGCACAACCACACAACCACATAACCACAGAACCAACCAACCAACCAAAAAACCAACAAATCAGCCAAGCGACCAGCCAGCCAGCCAGCCAGCCAGAGAAACAAACAGACAAACTAACAAGGAAACACACGTACACAACACCCACACACACACAAGCACAGACGGAAACATGCAGACACGGGAAAAAAACAAGTCCAAGAAACACCACTCACAAGGGTGTGCTTGTTTCCAGGTCCCCCTTTATATGTGGTTTCCAAGGGAAACCAAAAGGGTTTAAAACCGTTGCGCCATTTTTGGGGGGACCCCTGAAGAAGACGCACTCACCGTTACGCCATGTGCTGAAATGAGTATTTGTTGTATTTTCCCCTGTTGGAATTTTAAAGGGACTCATTTGCAGTACTGGACACAACTAATTTTCCATATCTTTTTCTCCAGGGGCGGGGAAAAAGAAAAAAACACCGCAAATGGAAGCCACCGCCCAAAGCAAAAACCGAGCGGAAGCGTCAAAGGCTTGCGCAGAAGGCCCGCGAGGCCGAGGACTGCCAGGCCTGGAGCGGGGGCCAAGGGCGAGTCTTAGGAGTCCATTTGCTCCATGTTGGCCTCTTTTTGTTGGGTGGATATTTAAATCCTCAAGAAAAGACTTTCCACAGTATCCGGAGCGGCAGAGTGCCACGAGTTTGTGCCATACTGTTTGGTTTTCCCTTGTTGGTTTTGAAGGGGATCTATGACCACTGGACATGTTTTTCAGTTCCAGCGGCGAAAACGCAGATAGGAAGTAGTCACTAAGCCAAGCCTTTTCAACCGCATGGTTTTGGGGTCCTCTTGCTATCAGCCAGCACTCCTTGGAAGGCCAGCTTTGGGGTGAGTCTTTTGGGGTGATCTCTGCCCAGCCGCCCGGCCGTTCCGTCATCCTCGTGTCTGGTTGCCAAATAGACCAGATTTGTTTGAGTTTCCCAGGGCGACCCAGATCCGGACGTCCCTTTTTCCTGAAAAAGACACTTTGCCTTGCACACAGGGCGCCAAATATGGATTGCTTCATCGTTCAAGGCAAACCTTACTGAAGAATCGCATCAACTGATAGAAGTTGCGGCTCAATCAATCTGTCGCCTCAGTGTAGACACAAGAGTGTGTGTGTGTGTTTTTTGAGGGGACCCCAAATGGTGGCTTTCCTTTCGGTCTCACTTTAACAACCACACAAAGGGGTCCCTCAAAAAAGACGCAACCACATGGCTTTCCAAATGGCTTTGTTGCTCACGGCAATTTTGTGGCGGTACATGGGCCGGGGGGAAGCGTCAGATACATTTGATGGGATTAACCCCAAGCCCGACCAACTTCATAAGCTGCTCTCTTTGGCTTGCACAGCTTCCTTGGAGACTGCCGGGGAGGGGGGCTAGCAAATAACGGCTTGTGTGAAACAGGTCGGAGTTTGCCCAGCAGGTAATTTCTTCGTGTTTGTCAGTCTGAATGATGGCCAGCACTTCGCGTAAGCTGGTTTGCAGCTCTTGGTCAAAAGGGGCCTGTAACAGGATTGGATTACAGTTTGTCTTACAACTTGGGCGGGTCCGCGCGGGAGTTGCAAAGCCTATGCGCAAATAACAGTCCAGCTTCAGACTTTACTATGTTTCTTTGTTGGTATAGCCCCTTCCGGGATCCCGCCAACCATCATGATTTTGTCTTACGTTGGCCAGCCCTGCGTCTCACCCTATTTGACTTATGAATGAGACATATCGTTTGATATATATATATATGTAATATGTAATATGTGTAATATATATATATATATATGTAATATGTAATATGTGTAATATATATTACGCACAGAGCTCTCTTCTGGGCTTCTTTGGTTGGCGAGCTTGGGTTGCTGAATGTTGTTTTAATACATTCGTGTGAACGTGCCCTTCAGACCTCATTCCTGCCTGTCCAAATTTGGCTCAATGGGCTCCTGGGCTTCAGGTGACCAAGTCACCGGGCCCCCGCATGTGGGCTTTGAATTAACTGTCCTTGGGTGAAAATGATTGTAACAGAATGGGGCCACTTCAATGTTGAGGTGACTTTTGCGGCTGCCCCTACATCAGCAAGCCCTCGGCGGGCAAAAGCGCGTGCAAACATATTATGACAGCTGAAGCCAGCGCAGGTGTAAACGATGAACGATGGCAAATCCAAGAAAGACCTCTCATTCACAGATTCCTCACCTCGAAGTTTCACAGAATGCAACAGACAGATCACGATTGCCCTTCTGGCACATCAGCAATTCCTGCAGGGCTTTTCACAGTTTGAGCAAACAAGAGTAGCTTGGGTCGCAGTAGTGCCCTTTCTCACCCCTTTTTTGGTTGGGAGGGTTCAAGCTGCTAAAATAGACTACATAAAAAAATAGGGTACCAACTTATTCTAACCTCTCAAATCTGGAGGACCTAGGTAGGTCAACGAGGTTTGCTCCAAGTCGACTGACCGACGGGGCCTCGCCCAACCAAACTCCCAAGGGCCGACTCGGCCCAGGGCCGAGTCGGGAGCCATGGCGCGCCCACACACCATGGGCTCCCGTAGTCGGACGCATGCGGGAGGCGAGCAAGAACCCATGCTCTTCGTGGTGCTTTCGCGCGCCGGTCTCCTCCAAAACTATTGTTTATTGAAGTATTGGTGTTATGATTATTATTATCATGTTTGTTATTATTATTATTATTATTATTATTATTATTATTATTATTATTATTATTATTATTATTATTATTCTTATTATTATTACAATGCATATTTGTTAAATGCATCTATGCATTAATATATTTACAGGTAGACTGGTAGACACAATATATGGAACAGACTCAGACAATGGAGCATCCCAAATGAGAGCCACGTTTAGGGTTTGGAGGTCGGGGTCGCTTCTGCGATACCCAGGAACCGCTACTCCCCGTGAAGAACTCGTTTTGAAGCTTGTACCACGTATCTCCATGATTCAAGGGATTTGGTTACAGGATACTTTACAGACAAATGCCCCAAACACCAAAGCATGCTGTTTTTGTTTTTGTTTTTTCTCTGTAGAAGTTCCTGTAACCCAACCCTTCTCCATGATACTTGCAACTGCGCGCAGACCCGTCTTCGTTGCGGATGGTTTAGGAGAACCGCCAGGTTCGGAGTAGATGGGTGAACAGCTCCCAAATTTTTCGAGACCACGCATGGCCCAAGTAGACATGGCCCCACTTGTGAAGAAGACTTCCCAAGAAATAGGTGTCATGGTACGTTACAGTCACGGATCCGGTTAAATCGAGGCAGGGCTCCAAGCAATTGGCTTGGGCGTATTTCATGTGAGTTTCCTTGTGTTTGGGAATTGGTGAAAGCTGTGAATTTGCGTTGCCGTGTTACTGAAGGAGGCGACTCAACTGTTTCTCTGCTGATACCTTTGGTAGATTCCATCAGATTCCTCTTGATGTTGTAAGCAGTTGTGGTAGTTCTTATGTGATTGCAACGTTTAGACGGAAACACCCCACTGGTGACGCGGGAATTTGGTCATGCTCTCTCAGTGCACAGCTGGGGTGCGGGAAGAATGTTGGTCAAGGACCCTGCGGGCGCGCCTACAGCGGCCCAATGGTTCAGTGGCACCCTGTTTGATTTTGGCTTGATGGATTCCCACGAAACTCGTCAAATTAAAAGTGTTCCTTTCCTAGGTCCCTCAGCTAGGTGCCCTTTTTGGGGAGGGTTCCCCTACTAAAATAGACTACAGAAAAAAGGGTACCCGTATTCTAACCTCTCTACTGGAGCACCTGGTTTCTTAAAAAAGGGGTTTTTCAGGGGGCTTTGGGCTGAAACAAGGGCGGGGTTTGGGCCACTGGGCAAGGCGGTGTGCCTTCCACTCGAGCGCAAGCCGAGAAGTGAACCGATCTTGGGCAATTTTATCCCTTCCGTAGCCTGGCGATCTACGGTCATTGCAACGCTGCGTTCTGTTTGTTTTTTTTTTGGGGGGGGGAGGGGATCAGAGAATCAGACATCAAGTAATTTCTGAATTTGTTAGTATTATACGGATCAGAAATCAGAAATCATGTAACCCTTACTTGGTGCTTTGGATTGTTGGTTTGGATTCGGATTTGATCTGGTTCTTGTAGAGGGTAAATGGGAAACCGCCCCGAACCAATCCAAGCCAAGTGGACAGATGAAGAAATCTTTGTCTTCTTTGGACAAAGCGCCAGGACGGGCGTGACAAAAACCATTTTTCCAGGAGAGACATGAGGGTTCCTCCCCAGAAAGGTTCTCGGGACCTGATCGGCATCCTGTTTGCGAAGGTTCAAGAAGCTGCTCCCCGGGGGTTGGGGTTGGGGGGACCACTTCTTACTGTTTGGGTATGGTTCAAGAAGCTGTTGCCTTTGTGGTGTTAAGGGAAGTTCTGTGTCCACATGGGTTGTTAACAAAGAATAATCTTTTCTTTATCCAAGTCGCGAGTCACGTTGCACCAGACTTGTTTGGGATCTGGGAAAAGACCCCAGCAATTGTGGGACCTGGATGTGTCATGGTCGCTCGAAAACCAGCTCGATCATATTCTACTCACTTCCGTAAACCAGGATATATGAAACCGCGAGTTGTTTGTACATGTGTCCATTTACCGGGGAGAACCAACATTTGGGGAAACCCCCGGATGTTTGGCAACCACAGCGATTTGGCCATGGTTCAAAGCCAATGGTGCCATTTTGGGATAGCTGCACCAGCCATTTTAGAACCTATTTTAGTGGTTGGATTGGGATGTTCACTGTGGGGTAACCGGGGTTTTGACCCATGGCCATTTGGACATCAAAAATTGGACCTCGATACCTGGCCCCACCGAGACGTTGCGTCAGGCCTTTCGCTGGCTCCGGTGTCGCCCTCCCGTGCCTCGTTCGGCATGCGGAGGTGAAGAGTTTCGAGGGGAATCAGCTGCATCCAAAGATCGGAACCCGGGGCTGGATGGCTGTGGGTCAAAAATAGGGTAACCACAAAACGGGTTGCCCTGGTAAGAGGAAACATGGACGAAAGTCTGCGGTTCGTCTGGTGGTTTAATTTTGACCCACAGCCAGATTACAAGTCAATGGCAAATGAAAGGCTTCGTTCTGCTTGTTCGATGGATTTGCCCAAACCTCAAATTGGAAAGTTGCAGCGCGGACCCTGGATCACAGCCAATGGCAAATTGAAGGGTTCCCTACCAATGGCACTAAGTCAAGGAAGCCGAGAATCACGGCACAGCTATCCAGAAAAGTTTGCCTTAGGGATGTCTATTGAATTGGTTATACACGGTTAAGCTTCACTGGGCCAAAATCAAGGTACCGGGTGGGTCGTTTTTGGATCAGGAACGCAGAACCACTCCTTGGCGTTTTAGTGTTTTAGTGGGGGGGGGGTTATTTCACCCACGAAAAGTTGACAACTTTGAGCCGGGGATCAGAAAATGGACTCCCCCCAGTTTTTTGTTTGGGGGGGATCCCTATATCGAGAGCCCATATTCTTGCTGGTGCTGGGGAATGACCTTCCGAGTTTCTGGGAATGAATCGTTTGGGGATTCCCAAATACAGGCTGACCAACTCGGGGAGGGTTTCCTGGGGTCATTCCGTGGTTCCTTCTCCTCTCGAACTGGCTCAAGGGAGCTGGGATGGGAGGTGTGAAGCTTGGGTGGTTGAGCATTTGCAAAAACCAGGGGGTGAAATGAAAATTCAAACCGTCAATCCAAAACACCAATTCCAGGGTAGCTGAAGCAATACCAGATTTGCTAACAGGATGCTCAAACCAATTTCTTCCCTCCAGTGGTGAGGATGCAAACCCCACTCGGCTTTTCCAAGAAGCCTGTACAAGCAGTGCGCCTTTTTGCGCCTGGAGAAACGAGTGCGACGGAGTGCCACGGAGTGCCACCCCGAGCCTTGTGGGTGCCACAGCCTGGTGCTCCAAGGTGTGACGCTGCAGCAGGCCGCGCAGCGCATGATCCCCACCCCCGTCATGGTGATCTACGGGCCCAAGCCGGCCCTTTCGGCGGCAGAGGGCTCGCGGGCTCGCGGTTGTTGCCCCGGCGGCCGGCGGCCAGCGGCCAGCGGGGCGGTCTGGTGTCTCGTGTTTTTTTGGTTTCCCCCCCCCCCCCCCGGTTTTCTGAGGGGACGGACCTTTGTTTGTTTTTCTTTCGTGGTGTTACAAGCAGAGGCAAAAGGAAAACTCTGTTTTTGGGAGGGGGTCCCCTAAAAAAGACACGCCCACATGCTCCTGCATCTGCCGTGGTCAACAACAACAAGGGTTACTGGATTGGTCGTCCAACTGGTAATAACATCATTCCTATTCACGGAACCATGACGAAGAAGTTTTGACCATGTACACATGGGGTGTTTCTCAAATGGACCTCCTTTGAGATACTGTAGCTTTAAAGCTGAACCTATTTTTCGGTCAGGGGTCCTACGTCCCCCACCGGTGCCCTTTTACCCTTGTTTGGGAGAGGGTTCCCCTACTGAAATAGACTACAGAAAAAAGGGTACCCTTATTCTAACTTCTCTACTGGAAGACCTAGGGACATTTGTTTTGAGAATCACCCTGAGGTGTGGTGAACATCTGATTTGTCTATACTCCGAAAACAGGGGACTCTTCTGACCGCCGCAGAGAGTTCGAAGGCTGCAATGAATGGCATGCAGGCAAGTAAATCAGGGCAGGCAAGTAAAATGGGTGTGGGTCAAAACATAGGGGAACCAAATGGGTTGCCCTGGTAAATGGAAAGGACTCAGACCTGTGGTCCCTTGCTGGTTTAGTTGCGGCCCATACAAAAAGCCTTATTGAGATGTTTGAGTGAGGCAGAGGCAGCTATTTAGGGCTGACTCTGATGAAGCTTCATTTCTCTGTTTTGCGAGAGAGCAGCGCATCTTTAGAAATGATTGTGGTGTGCTGCTACACAAGTGTTCTTGCCGCAACACAAGTGTTTCTCAGGCCAGGATGCTTAGCGTCATGCATTATGGAAAATCATAAGGTGATGTCCTCCCTAGTTCACTCCAATAACACATGATGTTTACGGACCTGGACAAAAGGGGCCTCCCTACTGTGGATGGCTGCGAAATCCATTTCGCACCACCTAAGAAACCATGGTTGAAACCATCATTTGTTGGCATTTGCGGGAGAATCATCATAGGGGCAGTTTGCATGCCGTAACCTGCATGGGACGGGCTCTCGGATCGAGGCCACCGCTCCCAAGCTGGGCAGTTGGCGTGCAGGCCTGAGGTGCCGAGCGAGTGAGCGGGTGGCGCCTACATGAACGTGTTTTTTTTTTGTTAAATCCTGGGTGGTTCACAGGGAAACCCAGTTTTCTTCTCTTTGTCCTGGGTGGTTCACAGGGAAACCCAGTTTTCTTCTCTTTGTCCTGGGTGGTTCAAAGGGAAACCAAATTTTCTTCTCTTTGTCCTGGGTGCTTCAAAGGGAAACCCAGTTTTCTTCTCTTTGTCCTGGGTGGTTCAAAGGGAAACCCAGTTTTCTTCTCTTTGTCCTGGGTGGTTCAAAGGGAAACCCAGTTTTCTTCTCTTTGTCCTGGGTGGTTCAAAGGGAAACCCAGTTTTCTTCTCTTTGTCCTGGGTGGTTCAAAGGGAAACCCAGTTTTCTTCTCTTTGTCCTGGGTGGTTCAAAGGGAAACCCAGTTTTCTTCTCTTTGTCCTGGGTGGTTCAAAGGGAAGCCCAGTTTTCTTCTCTTTGTCCTGGGTGGTTCAAAGGGAAACCCAGTTTTCTTCTCTTTGTCCTGGGTGGTTCAAAGGGAAACCCAGTTTTCTTCTCTTTGTCCTGGGTGGTTCAAAGGGAAACCCAGTTTTCTTCTCTTTGTCCTGTTGGGTGGTTCAAAGGAAACCCAGTTTTCTTCTCTTTGTCCTGGGTGGTTCAAAGGGAAACCCAGTTTTGTTATGTTTGTCCAGGGTGGTTGAAAGGGAAACCGAGTTTTCTTCTCTTTGTCCTGGGTGGTTCAAAGGGAAACCCAGTTTTCTTCTCTTTGTCCTGGGTGGTTCAAAGGGAAACCCAGTTTTCTTCTCTTTGTCCTGGGTGGTTCAAAGGGAAACCCAGTTTTCTTCTCTTTGTCCTGGGTGGTTCAAAGGGAAACCCAGTTTTCTTCTCTTTGTCCTGGGTGGTTCAAAGGGAAACCCAGTTTTCTTCTCTTTGTCCTGGGTGGTTCAAAGGGAAACCCAGTTTTCTTCTCTTTGTCCTGGGTGGTTCAAAGGGAAGCCCAGTTTTCTTCTCTTTGTCCTGGGTGGTTCAAAGGGAAAGCCCAGTTTTCTTCTCTTTGTCCTGGGTGGTTCAAAGGGAAACCCAGTTTTCTTCTCTTTGTCCTGGGTGGTTCAAAGGGAAACCCAGTTTTCTTCTCTTTGTCCTGGGTGGTTCAAAGGGAAACCCAGTTTTCTTCTCTTTGTCCTGGGTGGTTCAAAGGGAAACCCAGTTTTCTTCTCTTTGTCCTGGGTGGTTCAAAGGGAAACCCAGTTTTCTTGTTACAACCCTCCTGGCCCCGTGCCTAAATTGGGAAGCAGTTCTGAGGTCCGTGTTTGTGTTGCTTACCAGGTTCCATTGATCGCCATTTGGCTCAAGACACGATTGAGGTTCAAGATCTTATGTGTAGCTGCGTTCACACGTGATCGGCATTGAGAGCGGAAAACACTTCGCTTGCGCTGCATTTGTCAGGACCACTGTTGTAACTATTATTCCTTCTCCCTTACAACGTTTACACGGGTTCGGCTATAACGGCTTTGACCGTATACACCTTTCTACGTGGTTGGTATTACAGCTTGAGGGTTCGGTGTACAGCGTCCCACGGGACGTCACCTTGCCGTCTCTTGACAGGTTATCAGCCGTATCGACAAGCTCTACACTGGACAGAGAGACAGCTGGTTTATTGCGGGTACAGGGACAATAAAGGAACAATAACCTACACAGTACAATGGCATCTTCAGCGAGCCCAAGTACTGCAACTTTTGGGAACAGCAGCTCAGAGGGATCCAATGGATTGATGGCTCTTCCTGCGGTGATGGATATGATCGCAGATTCACAGGATGAACCTGGGAGCGGAGGATCCGCGCTATTCAGCGACATATCCACTCCCACAAGATCATGGAAGCAGATCGATGTTCATCAGGAGTCGAAGCAAAGAGAATCCCCACCGAGAAGATCATCATCTTCGCCTGCGACACCACGGACGTCGCAGAAGGGCGTGAGGTCAACATCGAAGGGTGGGAGGTCAAAATCACCCACCAGTGCGGAGTTTCGCGCCGCGATTAAAGAAAAGAACAAGATGGAGGTGGAGATCGGGGAATATCAAAAGACACTTGATGAAATGTCGGCAGCGATGGCGAATCTTCATCAAGAAGACTATGGGAGCACCATCCGGATCCAGGAGCTGGAAAGACGATGCGAGATTGCCAGCAAGCAGTCGGGACATCTAGTGAGTCACCACCAACACCACATGGCTGAGGCATGGCGCAAGTTTGAGGAGGAAGCCCAACAGATGCGCAAGGTGGAAATGAACGCATTTCAGTACGGGGAAAAGAAAGACATGGAGTCGAATGTTATAATGCAACAGATGAGACAAGCTGAAGGAACTATTATGGAGCAGAAGCGGGAGATTGCAGTGATGAAATCCTACATGGCAAGCGAGAAGTCGGCCGCGCAGGAATCAGCTATACATGCAAATCAGATACACCGTGAAGCTTCGCAACAAATATCAGTTTATCAGCAACAGATCAGAGGCATCGAATCGTCTACATCTATCGAGAAGTTCAACGAGGAGGAGATGGTCCAAAGTCTAAAATCACAGTTGGAGCACGCACTCGTCAAACGCCCCGAGACGTACTCTATGGAGGACTCCAGGGAACAGCTGATGGCGAGACTGAACGACGTTACAATATTCGCGGAACAAGAATCAAAGAGAGCAGATTGCTTACTTCGCGAGAAGGAAGAGATCGTCAAACAGTATGAATCCGACGTGTCGATGAAGGACCAGATGATTGCTATCGAGGGTGGTCATCGTCAAGATGCGATCTTGGAGTTAGCCCAGGTCAAAGAAGCAAAACAAGAAGAACGGTGCACGATGGACGAGAAGTCGAAGGAGGCCGAGTACTGGAGATTGACAGCTAAGGGAGTGTATGATGAGTACCTCGAGGAGATGCACGAACTTCAGGGACAACTGAAGGACCGGGAGGCGACGCTCAAGCAAGAAGAGAGTTTCGTTCGTCAACTTGATGCTGACAATGAGGAACTACGTGCACTCAAGAAGCTGGAGACACAGGAAGCCTCTAGCAGTAAAGATGGACATCGTGAACGAGCAGTAGTGAAACGCGCTGAGGGAGGATCCCAAGCTAATTCAACTAGGGTAGACAAGAGGGTGACTGGATTACTCCCGTCATCGTCGTCGAATCTGACCCCTAATTCGTCACTAATGCCAGGTTCGATTCTCTTTCCGTCTTTTGGTGATCCAATGATCGATGTACACCTATCCCAGATGCAAGGGGTTGTTGGGCATGTCCCACAATCCGCTACTACAACTGGTGGTGGTGATGGAGGGGGAAACAATGGTACTACACCCCCATTGGATTACGGTGGATTCTCGCCCAATGGAAATAGACAAGGAGCAGGTCGACGTCAGTTGAGTCTCACAGGTGGCGGAGGAGGACCTCCGGATGATCCACCCGATGATGAGGACGAGGATGACGACGATGAAGAGGACGAAGAGGACGAGGAAGAAGAAGAGGAAGAAGAGGACAATCGGACACGGAGGAGGCGCAGAAGATCGAGGGATGATCGAGAAATCAAGAACGAAAGACCGAGGATTTCGAGGAAAGAAGCCGAGAGGGTGTCTATTCCTGCTTGGCCAAAGATACATCAACTCGACAACTGGAAGATGCAACTGCTGATGAATGTTCTGAGCGCATGCGCAGATCCAGATACTGACACATGGACGAAATGGTTGGAACAGGCTCTTGGGTTAAACCCAGACCTGAATGTACTGAGCGACTCCGGCGGCGACAGATTTGCTACGATAGATATCAAGATGGCCATGGGCATGCAGAACATGTTGAAACAAGCACCTGACGAAGCCAAAGACGTGTACCTCGACGCTACACGACACTCGGAACTACGACATCAACAAGGGGTGATCGTGAAGGGACGAGAGTTGGTGGCATTGGTTATGCAATCATTCAGAACATCTGATAGAACGGATCTTGTCTACCACATCGAGCACCTATTCAACCTTGACTTTCCTGGAGACAAGAATTTGGTTATATTCAGGAACAAATGGTATGATTTGTTGCTAAAGATGAGGAGCGAAGACAGACCCAGCAAGTTGGCTCTCAGAGATATTCTCTACAGGAAGATCAAAGGGAGCAAGAAGATGGAGTTCGGCCTCAATGCCTACCATAGGTTGCCGGACAAGCATCCTCAAAAGACGTACGAATTCTTGTTGGCATTGATCGACCATCAGATCAAGGCGGATCGGGAGGACCTGATGCTTGACATGAAGGAGAGATCGGTCAAGTCGATGATGAAGTCGGGCGGCAGAGATGCAGCCCCAGCCACTGGCAAACAGGAGAACCAGGGTGGCAAAGGCAGAAAGGGGAAACCCAGTGGACCTGATGCTGCTCCTGTACTCCCAAAGGCCAAAGCGAAGGGTCACGCTGGCAAGAACGGCAAGTCCGACGGTGCCAGCGACAGAGGCAAGAGTCCGGGCGGAGGTAAAGATAACCCATGTTGGTATCACTTCAAGTCGGCGAAGGGATGCGTAAAAGGAAATGAATGCACATTTTCCCACAGCAAGAAGACGGAGCACAAGCTGGAGAACATGTCCAAAGGGAAAGGAAAAGGTAAGTCCAAATCCAGATCATCGTCACCAAAGAGGGATGATGGAGCATGCTTCGCGTTTCAGAAAGGGAAGTGCGACAGAGGGAGTGCTTGCAAGTATAGGCACGAGCTCATCAAGAACAATTCAGCTCCGGCAACGTCAAGCGACAAGGCACAAGCCAAGTCGAAGGCTGCCGCCAAGGCCGCAGCGCCAGCTATTGCAAGAAGGGCCATCGCGATGCCTGCGATAGTCTTGAAGCAATCGGCTCCTGCGGGAAAGGTCAGCTTCAAGAAGGACGTTGACCAGGTCGAACCGGATGAAGCCGAGACTGTCTACCACGAGCATGATGACGACGCAATGAGCGAATCATCAAGATGGTCTGGCGAGTCCGAGATCCCCGAGAAA